TTTTGACATTTTTGGTGCGTTTCATCGAACAATTATTATCTGTTTTTTATTTGTGTTACATACTTTTGACAATTTTCGATACTTTGTGTGAGCAAAGTCTTATGAAATAAATTTTTTATTATTATTATTATTATTATTATTATTATTATTATNATTGGTCAATTAGTTACGTAGTTATAGCCGATCAAAGTTAACCGTCATTTACACTAAATGTATCTACTGGGACATCCGGGCTAATTTTTCGAAAAATACCTTTGGTATTCCGAGTACTTACCAGATCTAAGTTTGCAAATACTTTTCTTCATTGATGTCGGTGTCTCGCGATTTAAACAATTAGCGTATTTTCAAAGGCCTATCATTAATAATTATTGGTCTTTCAACAGTCCGATAATTATTTATCTTTAAACTTAATTATCAACTTTGTTTTTGTATAAGTGCATAAACTTATATACTGTTTATCAAAGATCAAAAACAAAATTTAAATATTCTAAAAATATCTCGAAAATTACGAATTAATTAATTACTAATTAATTAATTAATTATTAAACGAATTAAACGAATTGGATTGCCCTATATTGAAAATATAAAAAATGTAAAATGGTGGGTGCATGGCCGTTATTAAGCGTACTCTGCTTGCCGTTGTCAGCTTAAGATAGAGTACAGAGTAATTCAGAAATCTCTGCCAACTTCAAGAATGTCCGCTGTAAAGAGCTCGCGAAATACCAAGAGTAATTACCCGTAACTCGGTCTTGTACTAAAAGGCCGTCTTCTGCACGACACCGGGTCTCATTAATTTTCAAGTGTCATATTAGAATTCAGTACAAGAAGTGAGAGGAATCATTTTACTTATGTTTGGTGAATAAAAACGAAATCCTATACTCGAAATTCTACTGAGAGTCAGCAACTCTAAAACCAAAGAGTGGCGTCTCAGATACACCTGTATTAACAATATATTCATCATACATCAACGATACAACAACACAGATGGACTCCTAAATCATATTATTCGAATAATTCTGGAAGTCAAATTCGGTATGATATTGGAAGAAAATAGTTTCCTTTCCTAGATGTTCTTGTAGAAAAACCAATTCACATGGATATGTATCTAGGCGCTGTGTGTCATCACCATCTAGCTTAGAAAGAAACTTGTCTTCAATTTATTGCACACCTTTGTGCATCGAGAACACCTCATCTTCCAACCAGATCGCTTGGATTAAGAACTACAACAAACATGATTAATTTATCAATGAAATGGATATTCCAAGAGAAATATAGAACTAATCATTACTAAAATAAGTCAAGGAAAAGAAGGAATATCTGGGTATAGCACATTTATTTATTTATTTCACTACATATCCTACAGGCAAATGCCCAGTTACAGGATACAAAACTAATGCAGTAATACAACACACAACGCATTTGAAAATATATGTCAATAAATAGAATTAATAAAAATAATAATTGAAGAAGGCAATATACCAGCACAACATATAGTAGGCATATAATATACATACATAAAAATATATATTAGACCAGCAAAACTATAGAAGATATAAAATATATAAATACATATGCACACACTTATATAAATACATATAAATCAATAAAATAGTAAAAAAGTATAAAAACTATAAATTAACTAAAGAGTCCGCTTTTTAATTTCATTAATAGTGCAAAAAAATATATCCAACCTGTCCTCAACATTGCAATAGTTGACAATCATCTGATATAAAGGAGATGCTTTCATAACGTTAGTACTTTCAGTGGATAATTAAATATATTATTTTTACGAGAAGCAAGCCTAGGAACTTTGATCTGAATTTTGTTCAGTAACCAGGTGCAATCAATTAAGTTGTTTAATATTTTATGTAAAAAGACAATTTGATGTGTAATTCTACATGTTTTTAACTCTACACTGAAAACGATCAAGTAGGGCATTATCTGGATATCCTCTTTCAGGATATATTTCCGTCAAGCTTAAATGCGACAAATTTTAAAAATTTTCTTTGAACTTTTTCCAAGGATTCAATGTGTGCACTATAAAATGGACTCCAGGCAATTGATGAATACTCCAATTTTGATCTAACAAAATATTCATAAAGTAATTTCATAGTGTGTACGCTGCGGAATCCTTAAGAGGAACGTAAAATAATACCCAAAGATTTATAAGCAGATGATGCAACTATCTAAATGGGTTTTATAAAATTTAAATTTAGCTCTTTTAATCAAAATTCTACAAGAGGCCCAAAAACATCCAAATGATATCACCTATAAAATAAAAAATAGTTGTCATTATTGCCCGTAAGAGGAAAAAGTTATGACCGGATATTATCACCATACATCAATTTTGTAGGAGTTGTAAGTTTTAAAAAACACTATATAACACCAAAATGTATAGATTGAAAGCAAAAGTCCACACCCCAAAAATAATAAAAATCGAATAATACGTATTCGAGTTATTTACCAAATTCAAAAAATGTTCACAAAGTTTGAGGCCATCTAGCGGCCAAACGAAGAGATTTTGGATATAGGTGAATTAACCTAAATCTGCTATTTTCAGTCCACGAATCTGTGGTCTTCCGTTGTACACGTTATTCTGGGACACCCTGTATAATAGTCTAATTTTTACCATATTTCTCTTCTTTTCTGTAACCAGTTGTACCCTATTGTTTTATAATACGACCTACAAAATACATACATATTATCTGCTAACTTCTAGACTTGCCCTATGGTGTTAATATTATCCAGTATAGTCAGTACCATCTGTTACATTAAAATAATTTGTCTTACCAAAAGGAACTACAAAATCTTTGGTCATAATATTGTCCACATCTAAACTGTTCTGAGACATACTGCTACAATTTATGTTTAACCTTACTACAACAACCTTTCGGATTTAATTGTCCCATTTCACCAGGATTGGGTCATTAAATCCGAAATAAAATTATTCAGGGACGTAATCCCGGAATTGTACGATAAGAACTTATTTTGCGTTCTTTCTGCTATAACGCAGATTTAACGGTTGTATAATGCATATCCTGTTACATTGTATTCTTAACTTCTTTTAGCAGAAAAGCCATGTTACAATATAAAAACAGCTTTACAAACAAGCTAAGAAATATTTATTATACAGGGTGTTAATTAACAATAGCTGAATATACTATAGGTACGTGAAATGGTGACCATTAGCGCAAACATGCATTATCCGAAAGTTGAAAGTTTCGGAAATACAGGATGTTGAAAGTTAAAATTTCAATTCTTTTTTTTTGCGATTATTCTGAAAATATGTAGGTAAGGTACTTTAAAATTTGTGTAACTATGTCTTTTTAAGCAACGAATAAGATGTGTATTGCAATTTCACCGTTGTTCATAGAGGGCGCCACTTTCTACCAATTTTACTGAAAATTTAGTTAATAACTTTTTACCCTGTACGCCTAAAGGCGGTTTTCCGAACTTCATGTTCGATAATTTTTTTTACCACCCTGTATAAAAATGGAAAATTTTCATGTCAAATTCGATAAATTTGGTCTTCCTCTACAAAATGTCCAATTTGCACAAAAAAATAAACCGGGAAAACTAAATTTTGCTGACAGTCTGCATCTGTCAATTTTTGTTTAAAAATCAAAATATCTCGAAAACGGTCAATCCTAAGTATGGAGTGTGCTATATGTTTTCAACTTAAAAATGGATGCTGTTTCCAAAAATGCAATAATATACAGGGGGTTCCGTTTAAAATAAGAAAGTTAGTATCGACTTCCGGTATAACCGGAAGTACGATGAGGTTGAAAACTTGGTGAGCCCCTCTGTCCATGTCACACCATCACAATTTAAAAAAAATCCTACAAGCGGTTTCCCAGTTATCCATCGATGGAGTTCGAGGTGGGACACTCTGTATACACTTACTTTTTTTCCAAGGACTTCAGTATAAACCAGCCATAACTAAGAATAAAAAAATCTTCTCTAAACATGTTGGTTGGTTATTGGAAAAATGTGTTCTGACTTCCTCGCGACAACCAGTGGAAAAGGACCGAAAACAAAAACAAAACTCGAACAAAATGTAGCCCGCTTGATAGAAACAAGAGTTTTGGGTTTGTTTCAGCTTTGTTTTTGTTTTTCAGGTTCTAGAAAACACAAACAGGACATAAACTCAACTGTCCGTTTAGTGGAAAACCGCCATAATATGAAACTTGAAAAACCTGAAAGAGCAATCATTTTTCCATTATTTGTGTATTCTTGTTTCATTTCGGTATCTCGATCCGTTTTCGAGAAAAATGAATTTAACGATCACTATGTTTTTGATAATACGAGAAATTAAAAGCGAAACAAACCAAGTGTTTCCTTAGTCGACAGATGAAGATGTGTAGATATTAAACAAAATATACACTGTGCTCAATAATACAACCATATACTACTCCTTTTTAATCTTAAATAAAGACATTATTGTAAGCATCAATTATTAATTAACCATAAATATTTATTATTTAAATGTTTAGTTTACGTCAAAAACTTGAACATGTTTTGCATCAATAGTCATTTGCATATTCTACCCGAAATAATATTAATATAATGATATAAAACGCCGCCTTTCATTGAAGAATCTTTTAAATGTGTTGATATAAATTTGTTTAATGAACTACTTGAGAATGTTTGTTGTAAGATGAATTTAAATACAATGACATCTAAAATCAAATATATGTATGTACTATATTGAAAAAATGCTACTGCAGTGTCACTGAATACTTGAATGGTAGTATTGTGCTGTGATTTTCTTTCTTCATTTTCATCTTTTATTGAATGTATCATTAGATTTACTTGGGGCTTTCTTTAGTCCATTTTAATAATACAGATACTGCTATTTTGTTGTGTTTCACTGTCACTTTATTACATTATGTTATACTTAATCTGTTTTATCCATAATGTCATGGTATGAGAGAAAATATTATTACATTTAGCTTTATTTAAAAGATAAATATATAGGTATTCTTACAAAAAATACAAAATATATAAAAACATTGTATGTGAAGTAATATTATAAGATCAATACATTTTTAAAAGTTTATTCCTAATATTTGCCTAGGGGCACTAACAATATCTATTTCTTTAAATTTAACTCATATGTAATCAATTAGAGCGTATGCGGGGTTCAATGGCATAAAAAGGATCGTCGCCATCAGCAGCAATATTTCTCTCTTCACCACATGAAAAAGTTGTATCTGATCCATTTGCGGCAATCTCCTGTTTATTGTGAATGTGTATGTTTACTGATAGCTGTGGGTTACAGAAACTCGAAGTTGCTATGTTGAGTGTCTCGCAGATAAAGTATAATTTGTTGTCGCAATTAACGTCGCTCCATTTTCCGTTTGGCTGCAACTGTATACAGAATTCTGGGTTTCGAAGGTTATTTGGCTCTGTTGGTGCCCAGTTGGTATAAGCTACGGTTCGATGGTCCCACCATATCCATTTGCCGTTGGAGTGTTTGATTCCGGATGTCCAATAATTGACTGAAAATCATTACTATACAGAGTGGCCCACTTTTTTGTAGTAGGATTTTAACAGGCGATAGAGAATCTTATATTAAGTAATATAAGTCCGCAAAAGCTTCGATACGGACCTACAGGGTGTACAAAAGTGAAGAATTTTTTAATTTTTTCTTTCTAGCGCCTACAGTTTTTGAGATATTTTGTTCAAATTTTGGGGTTTAGTTATTTATTGGGGTTTACTTGGATAAGTATGCCAAATCATTGTGAAAGTCTACCGCGTGATCATTTTTTCAAGGTCGCGGCCCCTTTTCCACCCCCAAATTTTTTTGTGGTGCGCCACTGACCGTGTCCGTTAAAGGAAATCGTTTCCCAGTTCTGTTTAGAAACTTTTTTATCCCTTGTATTTTTTTCGTATCTGCACCCATTGTTAAAGAAAAAATTGAAAAACTAATATCTGTAATAGGTCAATTTAATGAGACTATTCTAAAATGCTACAGACTAAAAGCGTTAAATACATCAACAGGTAATTTTAGCTAATAAACTAACTATGACTAATGCTGAGTTCATTCATAAAGGGAGGTAATAACTAAAAATGGATAATTTAAGAATTATAAAAAAAGAGGAATTGAAATTTAGGAAATTGTGCAAATGATGAAACTCCTGACGTTGAGTTTAATGGACAGATTTTCTAAATCTAATTTTTAGTATTTTTTACCAACTCAGCGTAATAATTTAAAGCAACTGTTCGAAATGGGAACCATTTTGTTCGACGCACAATTCGCACCTTCGCCTAATAGATTGTTGTGCTGCGGCAATAAAATTACCGTTTCTCATTTCATCGCAGGCATTTTGGATCCGGTCAATAAGCTCTTCTCTTGTATGCACAGGAACCATATAAACTTTATCTTTTACATAACCCCAGACGAAAAAATCCAATGGTGTTAGATCGGGGGAACGTGGAGGCCAAGAAATCGGCCCTCCACGTCCTATCCACCTTTGTGGGAAATTATAATCCAACCACCCCCTTACATTTCGATGAAAGTGGGCGGGACAACCGTCAAGTTGAAACCAAGCATTTAATCTCAAATTCAATGGAACTTCTTCCCACATATTTCCATGTTCAGTTATTAAAAACTCCAAAAAATTATCACCATTTACGCGTTGTGGCAAGAAATAAGGCCCAAACAGATAATTACTAAAAACTCCTATCCAAACATTAACACTGAATTCTACTTGAAAGTTTCTCGGACGAATTGCGTGCGGATTTTCATGTGCCCACACATGCTGGTTGTGGAAATTGACGACACCCTGGCGAGTAAAACACGACTCGTCGGTCCACAATATGTGACTTAAAAAATGTTCATTCTGTTCGATGGAATTCAAAACCCACCTGCAAAACACCAATCTTCTTTCTTCGTCGCCTTCATGCAAACCTTGCACAGGTTGCAAATGGTAAGGACGTCTGTGATCTTTTTTTAGAACTCGAAGAACTTTGTTCTTTGATATGCGAAGGACGCGAGAAACTCTTCGACTACTTGTGGTTGGATCCCTATTGAACTCACGAAGAATTTGGTTGTTGATTCTTTCTTGCCGGATATTAATTCTGTTTTGCCTTTCGTCGGGTCTTGCAGTTCTAAGACCGTGAGTGCTAAATTGTCGATGAATGTTAATAAAAACTGAATAATGCGGTTGACGTCTATGCGGAAATCTTCTCCTGTACTCTCTAACTGCTTCTGCCGAGTTCCCGTCTGCAAATCCGTAACAGAAATGGATGTCTGCTTGTTCTTGATTTGTGAATAAAAAAGGCATTTTAATATCAGGAATAACGAACGCTATTATCACCACTTTAACACCTCGTTTTCAGTGCCCACCTAATTTTATTTCTTACAACAATTGCAATTTGGAGGATGATCTGTCAAAATGAACTGTAAACAAAGTATGTTTCTAAGTTACAGACACAGCCTACTGTGGCATTTTAGAATAGTCTCATTAAATTGACCTATTACAGATATTAGTTTTTCAAATTTTTCTTTAAAAATGAGTGCAGATAAGAAAAAAATACAAGGGATAAAAAAGTTTCTAAACAGAACTGGGAAACGATTTCCTTTAACGGGCACGGCAGTGGCGCACCACAAAAAAATTTGGGGGTGGAAAAGGGGCCGCGACCTTGAAAAAATGATCACGCGGTAGACTTTCACAATGATTTGGCATACCTATCCAAGTAAACCACAATAAATAACTAAACCCCAAAATATCTCAAAAACTGTAGGCGCTAGAAAGAAAAAAATAAAAAATTCTTCACTTTTGTACGCCCTGTAGGTCCGTATCGAAGCTTTTGCGGACTTATATTAATATAAACTTTTCTACTTAAATTACGATTCTCTATCGCCTGTTAAAGTCCTACTACAAAAAAGTGGGCCACCCTGTATATATACAAATGTATTTTGAGAAAGTGGTGTTAAAAAAGCGTTGATATGTTCGTCCGAGAGAGAAATCATTATAATCAGATAATCTTTCTAATAACAATGATGCATCATATGATCTCTTTGTTTTCGACATATATTTTTTTAAGTGTTGGACAAGGAGGTTAATTCTTTAATTTTTTAAAATTAGAATATTCATTCAAATGGCTATTTGTGAAATCACGACTGTCTCTTTATCATATCAAATGCAGGCAATTAAAGCCAAATAAAATATTCCGTCATTTGTCCCTACGTTGGTGAACCAAAGTGATACTATTGGAAAATTAAGGACAATCACGTAGTGTTTGAGGAGTTCAAGAGTTTACAATAAATTCAAAAGGAGTACACAAATTCACACGAGTACACACACAAGTTCATCCATAGTGTACGCAAATTAATACCCCCTCGTGTTCGTCAATGAAAAGTGCATGCTGCAGTTGCAAATGACAATAAGAAGTCATTCTTCCCACCAAATTAAACATAAAGACAAAAATAATTTTATCTTATAAGAGGTGTTAGGATTATTCAAAAGTGGGATGCATTTGAATATACAGGGTGTCACCTAACGAATGTTACATACTTCAAGGGTATAATCTAGAATCCAAATGGTGTCCATTTAAGCAAACTTGCTTAAACGAAAAACGTCGCAAAAAAATTACAGGGTGTTAAAGTTATTTTTTCGTGTTTTCTCTTTAACTCGGAACCATTTGAGCGAAATTTGCTGTTGCTTAGTTTCTCTTCGTGAAGTATGCAGTGATTATGTTTCTATTAGGCTAAATCATAGAGGGCGTTCATTTTACTACAACCCTTTGTAAATATTCTTCTGTGTCTTTTTTGTAACACGTAAATATAAAAAATAGTTAGATAATTTTATTCTACAAAAAAAAAATGTGCACCTATCAAAAGTCGAAATTATACTCGGTTGGAAACATTGATAATGAACTCACGTTAAAACAGATCAACCTCGTCATTGCCTCCGCTATAAGAGTTGCAGTTCGCAACTTTATACATTTCACCCAAATATACAGAGTTATTCACAAACAAATGGTGACCAAAAATGAAACCTCGTATTCTTTGGTGAATTTTCCTATAAAGTTTTTATCAAGGACACTTCGTTAAAGAGATACTGAGTGTTAAATTTCAAAAATATTTTTAATTTCTTTAGATACAGGGTGTTAAACTTCAAAAAATATTTTTAATTTCTTTAAATAATAAAACTAGTAAGTGAAATAATTTGAAATTGGGTACATGTATGTATGTAGACATTGTCCAAAACTGAGTTGGTTTTTTAATCCAGTTTTTAATCCAAACCAGTTTTTAAATTATTTAAAAAAATTAAAATATTTTTTGAAGTTATCTGTATCTTTTTAATGAAGCGTCCTAGATAAAAACTTTAGAGGAAAACTCCCCTTAAAATTCACCAAAGAATACGAGGTTTTATTATTTTTGGTCACCATTTGAAAATCACCCTACACAAAATATAATGTATTCGCTCCTAAACCTACTTTCCAGAATTAAATATATTACTCATTACTTCTTAGCCCAGCAGGATCGTCTCTCAAAATCTTAAATTTAACCTAATTTAATATTAGTTGCACGTTCCTTAATTAACATAACGAATAATTGAATTCTATAGATAAAATCAGTTACAAGATTTCTCATAGTTTCAGTGGAAGAGACTATGTATATGTTGGATTTTTAAAGCTACAATTTTGTACATTTGGAAACAAGCAGATTTTGTTAAATCACAATGTCGATAAAATTAAGTTCATATTTTAAGTTAACTCTTAAGTAATTAAAAGACATTCGTCTGAAATTGTCTGTTATCTAGTATACAAGTTTATTTATTAATATTCAGAAAAGAAATTGTAGAACAATTTGTATATAGGCTGTTTTCAGCGAATGGTCGGACTAGTTCGGTCAAATTTCTTCAGTCAAACAATTCGCTGAACGGGCTTGTATTAACTGTATTAAAACCTATCCAATATTCCCAATTAGCTGATTGGGCTGACCACGAAATATTTGTCTACTGAACCACTTTGACCAATCCGACCATTCGCTGAACACAGCCATAGTTGAACGTTTCAAATGATATATCGCTCCCTTTTTCATAAAAAAATCTGGAACTAGGAATTAAGTTTGAGTTTGTTTGAGGTCACTAGAATGGGGGCTCAAACCCAGTATTGAAATGATATAACACAGTGCACATTGTAACAAATTAAATCTAGTGCGATTAGTTATCAGTTAGTTGATTGGTTAATAATAACTTTGGTAAACTGTCATCATGTAAAACTTAGTTAAGAAGCCTGGAAATATTGAGTCTGAATAAAGAGCGCGCTTGTGGTTCAAGTATGGCTGAGCCCAATGGAGTTGGAAGAGAGAGGCTAGCCCAATCAACGAGACGAACTGAGAATTGTTCAAGGCAAACGCCTTATGCAGATTTTTATTATTGCCATAATATCGTGACTTATAATCAACACCTTGAATCTACTTGCATATTTTGTAAGTTTACGAAAAATATTATAATTTATAGTAAAGGCTTGAAGCTCTGAGTGCCAGGATGTAGTTATTTTTTAGTTTTTCAAACGTATGGCACTGAATCCTACTGAATTTTGTTTAATTCTATGACGAAATATATCAGTCATTCGCAGATCTGATTTTCTTTGGAAAAAGTCGTAAATAGAAATAAGAGATTAATTAATTCTAGTCTCACAGCTCACGACCTACACATCAGAAATGTTTATTAAGGTAAATGAATCTAGTTTTATAATTTCCAAAATATTTTCATTGTCTAGTCTGAAAACTAGAAATAGACGTATAACACAACTTAAATATGTAGGTCAGAGAACTATTCAGATTCCGAGTTTCTTCTAAACAAGAGAGCGAAACGTCCAAAAATCAAAACTGACGACGCCAAGTGGCATCCAGTCTGGAACTTGTTCAATCGTTGGCAACTACCACACAAATTCGGAAAGCAAGTAACAGAATTCCTTTACCTGTTTTATCGTATTGAGAAATCACATTAGTCAGTATGTCGTTAGTCTCCTTGTTAGGTATGCTAACTAATTCTATTCCATACTGCTTGCATGTCAGGGAAGCTGTTCCTTGGGTTGCCTAAACATAAAAATTTAATATATCTAACAAAAATCAGAATATATTTAGTGAGCCACCTAACAGTTGGCATTATAATTTTTTTTTAATGTGTCGTATTATGGGCCATACAGTGAAATTTTCTAATGGTGATAAGGTGATCATTATAGTTTTTGATATTAAGTCATTACGCGTTATAGATTGCAGAACATAATGCCATATCTAAACAAACATTGGACACTGAACTAGGATATTAGATCATTTTCATTTAAGTTTTGTAGATGTAACTTGCAAAATAGTTTCAAATTCTCTAATTTCTGAATAACCTTCGTTACTGGAAACTGTAGCGAATTAAAAAGTTAATGCTAATATTCAAATTACTGTCTCACATGACTATTGAACTGTATCAAAGACAACACTAAACTTTGGAGAAAAAGTAGTAGAATTTGTCTAAACTATTAGAGAAGATATTTTAAATAACATTGCATTTCAGTTCGAGTGAATCAAACTTTAACCACAAATAGAACACAATAAATAATTCAGAATTGCCTTATAAAGGAAGGGTTTAAGTCTCACCATTTTGACTGCACAGGGCCGTATTGGTCGGTTGTTAAAATCATATTATTTACGAAATCTTTGTATGCTTATAACAAATTGATTCAAATTTGGTGTGGTGTTAACATTTACACATGTGCATAATTTACTGTAAAATTTACAAATTCTTGTAGGTCAGTGGTGTAGGAATTGCTAGTAAAGTTGAATTTTTTTACCCCAACTTTTTCGCCAATGACCTAATAATCATTTGGGATTCATTTTTAGATTCCGTGGACAATTCTACAAAAAAAAGGTATACTTGTTGAAAAACGGTATAGTGTATCGTTTTACCGAAAGTCTCAGTTGAATGGGAGACAGTTCTTCTGACAAGAAATTTAGTTTCTTAAGAATAGGAAATAAATTTTAAATTAATATTATTATGTCACGCATTAACTTAAAATTCAAAACAATATTAAATAATACGTCTTCACATTGGCGAAACGACAGCTAAATTCTAAATGTCTCGTGTGTTATTTATTGCATTCGTACTGTGATGAATTCCCCTTCTAAGCTAATTTTTGTGTTGCACTACAGTGCGGTGGACAGAATATTCAATGGCACCTCCTCTATAATTTATATATCCGTACTAACGATTGCCATAAAAAAACAACTAAGCAATCACAGACTTATCTGTCATCAGGAACTATCATTTTATTTAATATTTTTAAGTCTTGTCCGAAGAACGGTCTCCCATTCAACTGAGATTTTCGGTACACTATACCGATTTTCAACAGGTATACCTTTTTTATGTGGAATTGTCCACGGAATCTAACAATGAATCCCAAATGATTACTAGGTCATTGGCGTAGAAGTTGGGGTAAGAAAATTCCGCTTTGCTACCCATTCCTAGCGACTGACCTACAAAAATTTGTAAATTTTATAGTAAATTATGCTCATGTGTAAATATTAACACTACACCAAATTTGAACGAATTTGTTATAAGCATACCAAAGATTTCATAAATATAATTTTAAAAACCGATCAATCTCTGTTAAATTATAAGGCAATTCTGAATTATTTATTGAGTTCTATTTGTGGTTAAAGTTTGATTCACTCGAACTGAAACAGGCTGTATATAGAAACTTGGATTTGCACACTTGGGCTGTTCTGTGCACCCTCATCAACTTTATGTGTTTTATTGCTTACTTTTACTTTGGCGACCCTGTACTTCCTTTCGACTCCTGATGTTTGAGGCAGAAATTGATCATTTATCCCTTGGCAGGCACCACCATCAGTGGGTTTATTTGAATCATCGGATCCATGAAGTAAGTCGTCATATTTCTCACAAATAAAGTAATCCGATTTTTCGCAGGCCAGATCATTCCAATACAGCCCATTATTTTCTGGAGCGAGCTCGATGCACCTTTCGTTGTTGTTACTGTTGTCTGGTTGGGTAGATACCCAGTTAGTATATTTCATTTTCTTTCCTGTGGAAAGCCATAGCCAAGTTTTGTCGTCTACAAGTCTGGAGCCAGATGACCAAAAATTGTTTCCTGCCCCAACTAAGACAAAGGAACTTGGTTTAAAAATGGTTATCGATGGTTAAACAATATTGGGGTGTTTATAAAGTCAATTTAGATTTTTCGAAGGAAATATCCCTGTTTTCTTCAGAAGAGACTTTGAAATTTGTGATTAGATTTTTGGTCTATAATGTTCTATTTCGTGGTTTGAAGTTACTGGCATGTAATGTTGCATCCTTTAAATTTACTTATGAGTTGCTTATTTTTCGTGTTGTTAGGTGTTTTCTTGCTGCCTTGACAAACGTTATGTTATTCAACATAGAAATAAAAAACTGAAGCGATATACGCCAGTGAGTTCAGATCAGAATACACAGCAGACAAAAATATTGGTCAGAGAATTTAATGTGATGTTTCTTCTGAAGAACAAAGCGATATGTCTCGCGAAATGTTAAGAATTCCGAATCGACGACATGGCAACTAGCACGGAATCTATTTAATCAAGAAAAATAATGTTTCAACTAAGAACTGAAACATAACCTAGAATTAGTCAAGATCTCTCAACTAATCGATATTCCTATAATTTTTATAAGAAAGTCGAAAATCGTATATCTCTAAAATTATACTTTAAAATTATATTTTTAAACAAATGAAATTCAAATAAAAGATTGTATTTCTGTTATTCTAAAATGTATAAAATTGGGCAATTTGCGGGGTAGAATTATTCAATTTCTCAATTTCTACAAAACCAGGGCTTTTCTTGTCATTACTCACAAAAGTTATCTTGAAGGGAATGCAATTTTTTTACTTACTGGTGTCCATAATGTACCTGTACAGTCTATCACTTTCCGCAGCTGAGTGAATCGAAACCAGTTGCATGTGTATCATTTGGCAGAACAAACTGGCTTGCAGAAATGACGTCTACAACAAAAGTGTTATACCTTACTCAAAAACGCTGTAAAATACCTAACCGTTATACATCTGTGAAGTGGCATAATTTCCTGTATAACTGCCATGTTGATAGAATTTCTGACAATTTTTGACAAGATTCACTTACACTATCTTCATATTTCAATAAATAAAGGCGAAATTAGTACTGACCTTAAAAGTTATGCCAAGATAATAACTTTTTCCTTGAAAATGTAATAATTTGATATTAGATTGGTCATACGGGCCTTGAAAAAATGCTGTATTTCCTGTAAAAGACAAGATGTTGTTAATACCAACAAAGAAATACGGTATCAAATATTTGTATTGAATTGCTTAGCACTTTAAAGCAAAATTTACATAGCAAACAATTTTAATTCCAAGTATTTCAATACAAAAATATATTTGCGCAGTGTAGGATTACCTAATAACACAATCACACACAAAAAAAGAAAAGTGGTATGTTCCAAAGACTAGACCTATGTATCCTTATGCATTTTGATGCGCAAAATCCGAATACGGAAGCAGACTTGCTTCATCACCCTCTATTTTTCTAAATCGCGAAAAATCGCCCTTAAATAAAGACAGTACGGAAAATCTTACATTGGCAGGGATCAATATTAGATCTAATCGTAGATTCCGACTGAGAATTACTGCAGCATCATAATTCTCTGTATTCTCTGAATTCCAGTTTTTTTAAATCGCCGAAAAACCATCCTTAAACGCGGAAAATCCCACTGTAGGAGAACTGGAACAATTGTAAACAGAGAAGTTAATGCGGGACTAATAGTTGAAGTACTTCAAAAAAATTTTTTTCCTATCGGGCTTCATTGTGTTATTCAAAGAAATTTGTTTGAAAACAAATTCCAATTATAACTTCTAAGTCATTGCCATGACAACAATGTTTGGGCAATTAAAGTAAATGATGAGAATGTTCATTTCCAAGTTTAAACTGATATTCAAGACGCCTGAATTATACAGGAGCAGACAAAATTGACAGTGTTGCCAAATTTGACATTTTTCTTTGATAGTTCGATTCCTCTCTCACTTTGCTAAAAAAAGGTATACCATATATCAGTCGATATATTGTACCGTTTTTGAGAAAATCGAATTTTATTAACAACATAGGTACATGTATTGTATAAAAAATGCGATATTAACATTTTTGCAAAAATCTTGGAAATTGAGATGACTGTCAACAAGTATGTATAAATAGCAGTTACATATTTGTCATAAATCATTTAGACACCATTTATTGATTCAATATCATGGAGGATTTTAGCTATGAAGAATTTGCAAATATTTATCTCATGTGCGAACTTGCAGAATGTAATGCTTCTGAAGCTGTTCGGATTTACGGCAACCGCCTTTCAAATAGAATTTGCATATTTGAAATGACGAAAACCCCTATGCTATTATTCAGACAAAACTCTAACAAAAATTTATCATTAATATATGGATAGGAGTAACTAGAAACTACTTAGTGGCACCACATATCATTGGTGACGCTTTAAATGAGGATAAATACCTACATTTACTGCAAGAATACCTTAACCCTTTATTGGAAGAAAAATATTTGAAATAAGATGTGGCTTACGCCCAATGCTGCATCACCCCATTTTAGCAGGGCAGTAACGGCTTATTTAAATACCACATTTCCCTATCGATGGATCGATCAAGGTAGTCCTTTTCCGTGGCTGCCTCGGTCTCCCAATCTTAATCCTCTGGATTTTTTTCTTTGGAGCCATCTTAAAAGTCTTGTTTATCAAACTCCTATAAATAGTAAGAATTACTAAGTACTTACTACTTAGTAACTCTTACCTAGTTACTCTTACTAATAAATAGTAAGAATATTAAGAAATCGCATAATTACATACGCCGACATCATTAGAAATGATCACCGCATGTTATTTCGAGTACAGCAATGAGTTTGAGCAATTTCAGAAAATGCATTGAAGTTCAAGGTGCACATACAATGTCGGAAAGTCCCCATGGTTCATCGGCCGTTACGTGAGAGCGATAAAGAAAGTCATAGAAATCCGTGCGATAGAGAAAGATGGATATAATGAAGGCGTCTAATAGTCACCGCCCATTTCGCCCTTACACAAATAAGATCCACTTCTTATTTGCATGTTGCATGCTCCAAAGTGTCGAATGCTTTATTAAAATCGAGAAGAATTAGACAGGCACATTTATTCTTTCTATAACTTTAACCAGAGCAGTGCAAGTACTATATTGAGCTCGAAAGCCAGACTGAGTATCAGGCAGTATATTGGCTTTATTATAATAGTTGCTGACTTGTCCAGAAACCCCTTTTTCCAAGATATTTGATAATGTGGGAAGGATACTAATGGGACGATGGTTTGAGATATTTGTGGGATTATTAATTTTTGCGACAGATATAATGTTAGCATATTTCCATGCAGAAGGGAAAACTCCATCCGCGAGGCATTTGTTTATAAAAAAAAAACAATATGATTACTTAAATATGGCGATATGATTTTTAAATTAATACCGCAGGAATTGATTAGTTGCCAAAAAATAAGTAGAGTTTGCTCTATAAACTTTTTTCCTGGGGAACGTGGTATTCGAGTTACAGAATGTTCAAGTTACCGAAAAAATAAATTTTTTCGGAAAAAAAATATTTTTTCTGTCATATCTTCATAATGCGGTGAACGATTTGAATGAAATTTACTACAACCTATTCACTTAATTAGACCTTTTACTGAATGTAATATTAACCTCATGGCATTAACCAGTGGCGTCCTACTGAAGGTGCCGCTCCGTTTTCCCTAGAAAAAATACGCCACTGGTGTTTTTTTCTAGAAATGTTAAATTCAGGTAATGTTACGTTAAATATATGAAAAGTTAATAGTAGCATTCATTTAGGAGATAATTTACTTATTTGCCAACCATAATATGCAAATTTATTCCATATACCTAGGTACTCAATTTGTTTAAATCTAACGGCAAAAATTGTCTTCATTATCAGTTAGTAATCTTTACTAAGATCTTGTTTTAGTATTATCTCAGGGAAAATCATGCCATCATAAGTTCCTCTATAAATAGCCTGATTAGGGGATGTCGAAAGTGTATCTATGCGGACGGATTTCGTTTTGAACAATTGTTGTAAGACTCGTTACTTAATTACTTACCCGACCTATTAGCTACTGTTATTTTGTTATTTGGTTTGATATTTTTTCCAGAAAATTATTTCTACAAAAAAGTATTCTTTTCTTGGGAAAAGTTGGCTGACGCTTTAGTAGCAAGTCGCTGGTTTTCATCAAATAAGCTGAGTAATGTATTAGGAAAATTCAATAAAACACAAAAACAAGCCCGATTATCTTCAAAACGCCTGCTACTATTAAAAAATAACAAGAAACATTTTTCATACATTTAACGTAACAGTACCTGAATGTAACATATATCCATTATTATTATTTATTTATTTCTCCAAAAAAAAATTACATTTTTATGGTTCTGTAACAAACGGAAAAAACAAAATCTTATGTCTAAATAGCAGAATGAGAGGAAAAAAAAGGAAAAAATCTAATACCTTAATATTACAATTGCATAACATGAAAAAAAAATTAAGCAAGTGAAGGAACGGATAGAGAAAAACAATTGTTTAAAATAAAAGCAGGAAGCTTAAGTACACCCATTACAAACGTGCACAGCATCTTAGCAGTTTCGGGACTAATGTTGTCACGAAAATCTATTAAAGTATCAAGAGAAGTTAAATTCCTAAGGTCAGGTGATTTGTGAGGTTCATACACTGGGTGTAACGTAAAGGTTGGGAATAAATTAACGGTGGATTTTTTAGTTCAAAAAATAAGTTTTTGTCATATGAAGTTATGCTCTACGGGTTTTCTTTTCTAAGCTACAGGGTGCTAAAAAATTTCAAAAAATGTAGTTTTTCTCCAATAACTTTTGAACATTATTAGAAGATAATGGAACGAAATTTTAGCCGTAGCTTAATTTGATAATCCCGTAGTAACAGGAAAAAGGTTGACTTTGTAAGTTACTCAGCAGCGTGCGTACGAATTGTACCGTAAGGTTTTTCAAAGAAAATCATGGTACGCCACTGATAAAAACATTTTTTTAAATGTTTTTTTTTATAATCCACTCCTTATTTTAAACAAAATTCGTTCGTTTTCTAGCTCTTGTCATTTTCCGTAAAAAAAACTTTTGTAAATACCATCATTTTTTCCCACTGCTAACATAGGAAAATGAAAATAACAAAAACATTATGAAGTATGCTTTAACTCAGCGACCGAAAATGGTCAAATAGACATTGAAAAATAGACTTTTGCATTGAAAATGATATTAAAATATCATATTATTTCAACAATAATAAAAAACACTAGCGACTTAGGAATTTAAAGAATTTACCGAGTAAGTAATAAACAATATTACAAAAGGTGCTGGAAATGTTGCCCCCCAACTTCAATACATTTTTCAATGCGTTCTCTCAAGGATTCTCTTACTCGTTCAAAAATACCAGGGATATCTCGAATTTGCTGACAACCCATTTCAACTCTTTGACGAAGAGTCTGTACATCAGTAATGGGAACGGAATAAACTATGTTTTTTAAGTGCCCCCACATATAGTAGTCTAATGGATTAAGTTTAGAGAACAAGCAGTCCACGAAAAAGTCTTCCTATTTGTAATGCGCCGAGCTGGAAAACGTACAGACGCACAACTAACACAGTATTCCCGTTGGCAAGGCCATAAATAAAGTGCATATCTGCTAATTCTGGAAATGAGTAGTCCATTTTTAACAGATCCAAACGTTTAAGGCACGCTAAATTCATAACCGACAATGGTGTTTTATCTGAAAACAATTTTGGTGACTTAGTCAAAGCATACTTCATAAAGTTTTTGTTATTTTCATTTTTCTATATTAGCAGTGGGAAAAAATGGTATATACAAATGTTTTCTATATGGAAAAATGACAAGAGCTAGAAATAAAACGCAAGAGGGTAATTTTGTTTAAAATAAAAAGTGGATCATAAAAAAATATTAAAAAAATGTTTTTACTTGTCGCGTACCACAATTTTCTTCGAAAAACTTTACGGTACAATCGGTACGCACGCCACTGAGTAACTTACAAAGTCCATCTTTCCTGTTACTAGGGGATTATCAAATTATGTTACAGCTAAAATTTCGTTCCATTATCTTCTAATGTTCGAAAGTTATTGCATAAATACTAAATTTATTGAAATTTTTTAGCGCCCTGTAGCTTGGACAAGAAAACCCGTAGAGCATAACTTCATATGACAAAAATTTATTGTTTAAACCAAAAAAATCCATCATATAATTTATTCCCAACCTTTACGTTACACCCTGTATAGAGCATTTAATAAAGATATGTTAATGAAATAGGAAATACCATTAAAAGCAATCTTTAAATAATGCTTATTCGAAAGTCGAATTTGAGCTATAATCCTTATAATATGTATTGGTAAGCCGAGGTTAGATAATTTTTCGGGTAGCTAGTTAATCTGAAATACCTACAAAGAACTGAGGATGAAGAGTTTGTTGCCGAAAAATATCGATATGGTGGAGAATGTCCTCATATGTACGTAAAAGAGTATTAGTACTCTGTGCCAGATTATGCGCATTTAAGTTGGTCCACAAATCATTTGAACTTAAGAGAGGATAGAATTGTTTAATTTGTAACAGTCAATTAAATCTAGAGTCAATATTTGATAACAGCACTTGTCGCATAAGACATAGATAAGGATATCGTTTTTTATCCATAACTAGTAATTTACGTAGCCAATTAAGACAAGATTTCAGTACAATATAAGAAAGACCTACATATACATACTTCTACAAAAAACCGCCAGTGGCGTTTTTTTTTCGAGGAAAATGTGGCGACACCTCCAGTAGCGCGCCACTGGTTAAAGTCACAAGGTTAATATTACATTCAATAAAAGGTCTAATTAAGTGAATACGCTGTAGTAAATTTCATACAACTGCGTCTGCGCATTATGAAGATATGGCAGAAAAAAAATATTTTTTTTGTAAAATTTAACACACTGTATCTCGAATACCGAATCGCGCAGGAAAAAAGTCTATAGAGCAAATCTCTCAATCAATCACTCAACTTATTTTTTGGTAATGAATCTAGTCCTGTATTTAAATTGAAATCACCCCGTATAAAATAAATATCGAACAAATTTATTCAGGTAAAATACACCAATAGTGCCTTTATAGTCTTATATAATTTTTGGTTTATGAGAATATTTTTTGACTCAGGAAGAGGCAGAATATATTTCGACATTTATTTACTACAATAGCTTTACAAATCATATGTTTTAAAAAGTTCTAATTAGATTATTTTACTTCATCTCTTACAAGTATACCGGGTCCGAGTCCTAGATTGAATCATATTTTTGACAGCTTGTAGAACTACTTAAAATAAGGCCTCGCAAAAGATTCAAAACAAACAGTACAGAAACCTAATATTTATCAGCTTTTTACAGTTAGTTACATTTGGATACTTTTCATTAAAAATTTGTATTGCATATCAATATGAAACATTAGCGGTTCCATAATATTTCACAAGGTAAATTCATTGCTGCAGGCTATTAATAATAAAAATTATTCGATGGACAGTTGATAAAAATAAATATATTGACTTTGACATTGATAAGGAAATATCAATTTCAATCATATGGTAGGTAAGATAATTCAAAATTGGGGTTTCTATTTATTTGCAAAATGTGGTTATTGTTTTTTCTGACTAAACCCCGTATTCAAGCATTTCTTGAATTCTCGGACATCTATGTTAAAGGAAATAAAAATTAGAGGCACTTTGCTTAGGGAAAATTTCATATTCTGAAATTTTTATTACATATTTGATTACTGCCCATGGCTTCCCAAGATAAGCAAAAGTTTTTCTTAAGAAACTTAATTATACTTGAAAAAAAATATTTTCTAGTTATTGCAAGATAAATCTTATGATTGTGGACTTACCCATTTGAACTGAGTGGTTTGTTGGGATGCCATCTACTTCTAAAACATATCCACACACGAAAGCCGAAACTATTACGTTGAGTATGAAATTCATTTTATTTTATCTCTAAAAAATCTCTACTGAATGTAGTTATTAATTTATCATATGAACAAACAGGATAATAAATAATACCTTTTAAAATCTTTAAAAATCAAGTCTCGCTGTTACCACAACTGCACTCCCTAGCCATCTGCTGCTTTGATTACAGCGTGAGCATTTTTATGGACCTTCCATATTTCCCTCTGAAAAATTAATGAACAAATAAATACTGAAATATGTACACAGTGTGTCTGGGAAGTAATGAATAAATAGGAAATCATTCAATCTCTGTTATAAACAACAGATTCAAGGTACCTAACCAATTATATAAGCAGATATTATCTAGATAGATAGAGATTATCCTAGATTTAAGTAAAGCCTTTAATTGTACCTCATTTGAAATATAAAAAAAAATCAGTGTGATTTTTTTCCTGTTATTCTTTTATTTATTAAATAGATTTCAGTTTGCTATTTACGAGACTATAAAGCTAAGTACTTTGGAAGTATAATATGTGGCTCCTCAGGTTTCATTCTTGGATCCCTTACTTTTCTTAATATGTATAAATGAGCTAATATTATCATTAAACGAACGATTTTTCGGTAATAAAATGGCAGTTAACGCGCGAGACTGAAACGATCTTCAATCTTGTCAAGGTGCAGTTCAATTTAGTCTTGATAATCCTAAATTTATATTGATTCTAAGCCATCGTGGAGTAATCATTTTGATTGTATAAACTGTTCGCTTTGTAGTAAAAAATCTTTCTTACTCTTGATCGTGTGAAAATGCTTTGATATATTTATACTGAAACTGAAACAAATAAACATAAAAAAATTGAATCTTAAATTATTCTCCTCCATCTGTAGCTGTTGCAGTTTTACCATTCGCAACCTTAACAGTTGTAGCTAACTTAGATTGTAAATAATTCATGATGATCACAAACTCTTTTGGAGTTTCCTAAGTGTGGATATCGCAAATGAAAAGAAGTTCACATGATGCCATTAAATACAAACATTTTATTTTTGTTCAGGTGAGTTTCAGTTGGTAAACATTCTCACCAAATTCAGTTGCCCATGTACTATTTTCTTGCTTATTTAGAAAGAATTATTAGCAAGCAAATTAAAATATAGAAATAAATATACAAATACAGTTTTTTGCCGTTCATAAATGCAGAGTATAGGAAATCAACTTGAGCGAAAATAAAAATTCATATTCTATAATTTAAATATTAACATACAATAACACTCATATCTCAGTTTTGAAATAAATGAAACAAAGAATACTTAAAACTGTGTTTGTGTTTACTAGGTTCACATTATAGCAGAATAGCCTTGACAGCAATATAGTTCTTCTTATCTTAACCGTTAACCACTTCCATATTTTACTGCTTGCCTGTTCCTGTGGTTTTTTATTGTGTAATATGCGATAACAAAAGAAAAATAACATTTTTTTAATAACAGGGAAATATTTTAAATTTTATATAACTATATGAGTATTTCAGTTTGTTGAACTTGAATTTAATTCCACTCAAATGGTTACAGTTGGTGTAGAATTAACTAAATGTTAAAAAAATAAATAAAATATAGTATTACTTGTATTTGAAAACATACTCTGATATTTAATAAAAAGTTACATGTTCCGTTTCAAATTGTTCAATTTTACCAACATTGATTAAAGACGATGAAGAAAACACAAAGAAAACTACTTTTTTCTTCAAACGTGACAAGTAACAACTTATGTGACCGTTACTCAATAATATTAAGTGTCATTTATATGGCTAGGAGTATAAGTACCTAAACGTATAAACACAGTACTACAAATTCAATTTTAATAATGAACATTTAATGTTTTAATATTTATTTATATACTATTAATATTTATAATAAAAATATAAATACACGTTAATAAATTTTTAACATTTCAAAATTCAGTCTTTTGTGGTTTTCGAAAGTGGAAATGAAGTTTCATTTTTAATTATGGTCAACAGTTTAAATGTTTATTTATTGATTCACAAAACATATAGTTTATGCTTTCTGATAATTTATGTTTTGTGATCTGCTTTCTTAGATAAATACAGGATGAGTAATTAATAATGGTACACAGCTTAATGGCATATTGTTAACGTCAAAATATAGTGATTGAGCCAAACATGCCTTAATCAATTATTGCTCCTTTTTGTTCTACAGGGTGTTAAAGTTGAAAAAATGTTCTTCTTTTCTTTCTTTTTTATTTATATTTTAAATATGTATGGACCGATTGTTTTGAAAATTTGTTTACGTTTTTTGAGGAGGCAAATACGAATGTGCAAACAGTGTTGGGGTCACGTCTAGAGGGCGCTGTCCTATCAATGTAAAAATCTGTCTAACTTTTTGCATTTTACAATTCTAAATAAAAAAGGTGTACTAGTTACAAATCGATAAAATAAACCGTTTTTGAGATACAGACGTTTTAAGTTTATTAACTAAATTAAAAAATTAGCAGGTCTTAAGATACCAAGCCTGAATTAAGAATTAAGACAAACATTACAGCAATTAAAGATTTTATTATGCATATCTTAACAAATTATTAACTACCAGCAACTTGAATGCACATTCTTAGCCTTTTATTAAGATATCCTCTTCTCTAAAAAATAACGACAAGGAAAAACTATTTCTTAATCAACTTGAGTAGAAAACAATATGGTATTGTAGTGACAGCTGTCAATTTATTATGTCCATGCCTACTACTTTGGAAAAAATAATTTTCTAATTTAATTCCTGTCGAATCTCAAAAACTTAAAATGTCTGTATCTCGAAAACAGTTGAGTTTATCGATTTATAACAAGTATACCTTTTTTATTTAGAGTAGAACGTAGTTCAACAATTTCTAGTTAAAAAATTCAAAATTATAAAATATAAAAAGTTATACTTTTTTTACATTGACAGGACAGTACAACTAGCGCCCCCTAGACGTGACCACAACACTATTTGCATATTCGTATTTTCCATCTCAAAAAACGTAAAACTACAAATTTTCAAAACAATCGGTCCACATAAAATATAGATAAAAAAAGAAAATATTTTTTCAACTTTAACACCCTGTAGAACGAAATTGAACAACAATTGATTAAGGCATGTTTGGCTCAATCGCTATATTTTGACGTTAACAATCTGCCATTAAGCTGATTACCATTATTCTCACCCTGTACATAAAATGTTTATTCCATTATTACTTCTTTCAATATTTAAAACCCGTTTATTAAATAATAATTGCTGTGTCGAATTAAAAATAGACACTTTAAATTAGATAATATCCCGCATTAGACTATCTTTAGACTTGGACCTGACGAGAATGTTACAATGACATTATCATTATCACTTACACTATTTACTACAATCACCAGGGTAGGACTGAATATATTTCAAAATAGGGCGATATGTACAATTTTAGGAAATTAAGTGATTTATAACATTTTTATATTAATATTAATAAAATAATTATAATAATGACAACGAAGGAGTCGAAACTAGTATTTACTTCTTGAGAAATATTAGTAAAAAATTATAAGAAATCAACTGTTCGTCTTTTACAAACAGGTTTTCATTTTTCAAGTCCAAAATCGGTTGGAGTGAAATTTTCGCTTCTCTGTAGTTTTATGTCTTCCGGCCCATTTACAACCAAGCTCTTCGAATCCTGTTGGTTGTCAAATGTATGTCTCATCGAAAGATCGATTATTGAAAATTAAACATTAATGAAGGACGAAAGTTATTTAATAATTTATATATTTTTTACCCGCTGCTGACATATGAGTACAATATATTCTGGCAGACGCTGCGCAAGCGTTTATCCTGTTCAAACGGTTAACGGTTTTTCGTGTAATACCCCATGCAAGTAGAAGCTGTCTTCACCATGACATACATCTGTGAAAAAAATTGTATGCTAGATTTGGTTTCGTTTGTTTGGTCTATGCTGCTTCTTCTCTGTCGGTGAAAATCTAAGAGGAATTAAAATTAGAATGAAGCAAATACATTTGGCTTCACTAGTTGAGAAAATTTACTAGTGTATATTTTTTCCAAATGGTAATCCAAAATTTTCTTCGCTACTATTAAACTAAGAGGCGGATAGGAAAATTTACCTAATCATTTTAGGCACAATAAGAGTCTGTGACTTAAATACTACAACCTAATAGAAAACATTTGAGCACTATGACGTCAATTCTTCGTGGCAGATGGGTTGTCAGCGGAAAATCAAACTTTCCAATTTTAGTCCGGGTAAATTAATTAAATAGAAATTGACGGCATTTCGACCCAAGACAGATATTAGAAAAATAAGACATAAAAACCTTATGCTGTACAAAAATAATAGACCGATCAAAATAACTCATTTAGAAGGAAAAAAAAAGAAAATTGTTACCTGGACTTTTATAAGTGGAAATGGTAAAGGGGCTTATAATAATTAAAAAAAAAAAATAAATGCGTGAGTAGGGGCGGCGGAGGGTTGATTTGGGGGGTTGAAAAGTTACGAAAAATTTATATCATTATATTATATTATATGAAACTTTTTGAAAGTATACTTTTTTCTATCAATAACGTCAAATTTTTTTAGATAACAAAATTAAGAAGTTTCTAAGATATTAATTTTTTTCGGCCTGAAACACTTTTTTTTTTCAAAGAAAAATTCTACTTAAAAAAATCATCGTACAAAGTTCTGCCGGTAATAATTTTTTTCGTTTTGACATATACTTTTTGGTGAAACAAAAAAAAATTGTAATCGCAGTTCAAAAACATGCTCAAAAATACAAAAAAGTAAAAAATTACTTGCAGCAATTAATTTTTCAGTAATTGTTGATAATTTGTTTAAATTTAAAAAAAAATCAAAAACTTATTACACCATTCAATTGTACGGAAAAAATTCTCATCTCATTGTTTGACCCAAAACTATTTTTGTACACTATTGCTATAAACATAAGACGAATAGTGAATAAATAAAATAAATAATATTTTTTTTCCATAGAATCGATTAGTGCACTTATTTTTTTAAAGTTTGATGAATTCAGATATACAGTGTGTCCAAGATAAGGATGGGATAGCATTAGGATCTAGGAAACGGTAAGAGATACGGGGTGGCTCAGATTAGAAAAAAGTTGTGTACCTAATAATATGCTGTTTAGATAGTTTTAAAATTCTGGGTAGTTCCAGAGA